GGGAATGGAGGATTTTGTGGTGTATTGTGATGCGTCTATATCGGGGTTGGGTGCGGTGCTTATGCAGAGAGGGCACGTGATAGCATACGCATCGAGGCAGTTGAAGCCTCATGAGACGAGGTATCCCACCCACGATTTGGAGTTGGGAGCACCGGTGTTCGCCCTCAAGATATGGCGCCATTATTTGTATGGGGTTCGGTGTACCATATACACGGACCACAAGAGTTTGAAGTATCTGATGGATCAGCCCAACCTGAATATGCGTCAGAGGAGATGGTTGGATGTGGTAAAGGATTATGAATGTGAGATCCTGTACCACCCGGACAAGGCTAACGTGGTAGCCGATGCTCTGAGCGGCAGGGAGGAGAGTGCCCCGATTCGAGATATATGTATGAGGATGACGGTGATGACTCCGGTGTTGGATATCATTCGAGAGGCCCAGGCAGAGGCTGTGAGACCGGAGAAACGCAAGAGGGAGCGGGTGATTGGACAGGTATCCGAGTTTGTGACGGATAACCAAGGGCTTATGACCTTTCGTGGTCAGATTTGGGTGTCGTATACGGGCGGGGCACGAAGTACTCTGATGGAGGAGGCGCATAGATCGAGATTTTCGATCCATCCTCGGGCCACTAAGATGTATTTAGACCTGAAGAGAGACTACTGGTGGCCCGGTATGAAGAGGGATGTTGCATGGGTAGTAGAGAGGTGCTTGACTGTCGTCGGGTTAAGGCCGAGCACCAGCGTCCGCATGGCAAATTGCAGCCATTAGAGGTTCCCCAGTGGAAGTGGGAACAAATTTCTATGAATTTTATCACCAATTTTCCAAGGACCGCGAGAGGTGTTGATGCAATTTGGGTGATTGTGGACCGGCTGACGAAGAGCGCTCACTTCCTTGCTATTAGTGAGAGCTCTTCTGCGGAGAGACTGGCAGAGACATATATGAGTGAGGTGGTGTCGCGGCATGGAGTGCCGATCTCGATTGTGTCAGACCGAGATGTACGTTTCACTTCCAGGTTCTGGAAGAAGTTCCGTGAGGAGTTGGGTACGAGATTGCACTTCAGTACTGCTTACCACCCACAGACGGATGGCCAGAGTGAGCGAACGATACAAACGCTCGAGGACATGCTTCGAGCATGTGTTATGGACTTCGGGGGAAGTTGGGACACATACCTACCTTTGGCTGAGTTTTCTTACAACAACAGCCACCATTCGAGTATTGGTATGCCTCCCTTTGAGCTTTTATATGGGAGGAGGTGTCGGACTCCCATCTGTTGGGGAGAGGTAGAGCAGCGAGTGATGGGTAGCACTGAGATAGTGCTTAAGACGACTGAGCAGATACAGTAGGTCAGACAGAGGTTACTGATAGCCTAGAGCCGCCAGAAGAGTTATGCGGATAGGCGGCGATCTGAGCTCGAGTTCCAGGTTGGAGACTTTGTACTCCTGAAGGTATCTCCTTGGAAAGGAGTGATCCAATTCAGGAAGAGGGGCAAACTGGGGCCCTGATACATTGGTCCTTTCAGGGTGATCGCCAGGGTGGGCAAGGTAGCATACTGTTTAGAGCTACCCGAGGAGTTGGGTTAGATCCATGATACCTTCTACGTATCCCAGTTGAGGAAGTGTATAGCCGATGAGACGGTGGTAGTGTCGCTAGAGGATATTCAGGTGGATGCGAGCCTGAATTACATTGAGAGGCCGATCGCGATCTTGGATCGGAAGATCAAGGTTCTGAGGAACAAAGAGGTGCCCCTGGTTCAGGTCCAGTGGCAACATCGGAGAGGGTCCGAGCTGACTTGGGAGCCGGATACGGAGATGCGGGAGCAGCATCCAGAGTTGTTTGCAGAGTGAGACTTCGAGGGCGAAGTATGATTCTAGTAGGGGAGAATTGTAACATCCGGATTTCCAGGTATCATCATTTAATTATTTGTTTTTGAAATGAGAAGAGGGACTCGACGAGTTGACGCCTAAACTCGTCGAGTAGGATCGCGACTAATGACTCGGATTAATGAATGGACTCGACGAGTTGGAGAGTCGACTCGATGAGTCCGCGCTGTTGGCATAAACACAAATCTTTGGGCCTGAGCCCTATTTAAAGGCACTTATGGCCTTCAATTGCAGCTACCTTTCCAGAAGAGAGAACCCTAGCGAGTTTGAGTGTGTAGAGTGAGAGGAAGAGCTATCTTGAGCTTTTTGGTGTGATTTTGCAAAGGAGGAGAAGAGTTTCAGCAAGAAGGACCAGAGGAGGTTGTTGTTCTGAGTTAGTCAAGCAAGGAGCTTCATTCTGAGGTACCAAATCGAACCCCTCTTCTCCCCTATTGTGTAGATTTCATTTTTGGGGTTAGGGCTTGAATCACTTCATTTTTGGGGTCTTGAATGCATCAAATCCCTCTTCCTAGTTGTTTTATAGATCTGGACCTTTCTAGATCCAGAGAGCCAAAAATTATGAAGCTTTAGTCCAGTAATCATATGGTTTTGAAGCTAGAAAGCATTAATGGGGCTTCTATGGTATATAATGCAAGATACACCATGCATGGACACCAAGTTCAGACCTTTACGTGACTTTTGGGTGTTAGAAGGTCAGATCTATAAGTTAGAGAAACAGATCTGACCTCAGAAGGTCGTTTGAGCATTGTCATGGAGGAAACTCGCCGAGTCCATGAGAGGACTCGACGAGTCGGATCGGGTTGCCCCGCGATTCGTGATCAGTGGTAACCCGTCGAGTGAAAGGTTAACTCGACGAGTCAAGTGAGGCCTTAGAAGGATTCAGAGGACACGCATGGACTCGCCGAGTCACCCAAGTGTACTCGACGAGTCTGGTCAAGGTTGGACCGTTGACTGGAGTTGACTTTCGCTGACTTTTAGGGTTTGATCAACAAGTGGACATTTGGACCATTGGAGGGGTAAAATGGTCTTTTTCCCCCTTCTATGAGATTATAGGAAGGATTAGTCTAGCCTTTGAGAATCGTTGTTAATTAGAGGTAAATTACTTTATGTGATTAGGCGGAGGCTAGATCAGTATTTCGAATTCGAGACTTTCCGAGATTAACCGAGGTGAGTCTTCTCACTATACATTACCTAGAGTGGTAACCATGTGCAGACCGGAGGGTCTTATGTGTTATGTATTTACTTGAGATTATGTGTATTGTGATTTATGTATGCTATGTGATATTTAGACTGGACCGGAGGGTCCAACGATTTAGACAGGACTAGAGGGTCCAACGAGCTAGACCGGACCGGAGGGTCCAACGAGGTACGGGACTGGAGGGTCCCACTGAGACACATTGACCAGAGGGTCTTATCGAGTTATAGCCTCGAGTGGCTTATGTGTTGTATGTTGTATTTTTGGGGAACTCACTAAGCATTTATGCTTACCGTGTTATGTGATATGTGTTTCAGGTACTAGCGAGGATCGCGGGAAGGCACCAGCATGATTTGTACACACTGGCAGAGGATTATGTTTTTGAGATTCTGGGATATGTTTTATTGGGATGACATTTGATACACATGAGATTTTGAGAATATTATATGAGTTGTATTGTGTTTGAAAAATGAAAAATTGTTTTAAAAATTACGTTGTTACATGTTGTGTTAGTTCATGGGTTACACTAAAAGGGGTGAGGATTTTTGGTGACTTTAGTGTCACTAGACGTTTTGTGTAATTGGACCTATTATGTGAGCTAAGGGGTTTATAATTTGTACTCTATAACATATATGTGCAGTGTTTGCGGAGTACATGCATATAAAAGAACGAGTTATAAGCCGATATGATAAAATGGTGGGGTCCAAAGGGCAGAGCCCCTGGTGGTGATCCCAGATTATAGTTGGTGATTATGGTAAAATCGGTAAAATTCGTCAGTTTTGGAAACCATAGATTATATGCCATTAATTCCGGGATGACTAATTCAGAAGACGACAACTCTAATCGCAACCCTAATTGTCAAGCATAAACACAACTCTTCTCTTTGAGCCGTAACGAACCTTTCGCTGCCCTTTTTTTTCCGACGAACTCAGAATTATTCTAGCAATTTGGCTTGTGTTCCTATGCCTAGATTCGTAAGTGTCCATTTGAATTATCCTAAAAGTAGATTTCTAATAACTCGGACATAAGGTAAAAATATTATTTCTAAAAACAAATTTACGCGATCACATTGATCCAGATTTCCACCATAAACACCTCTATAGACTAACATGTTGTTATCAATCATATACATATACAGATAATGATGATTGGACTAAAATAGATTACATTTTGAACTAAATGCGAGTATTACACCCAAGTCAGTAAATGTATTGCTTTATCTGAATATGTCACTTTTTTTTTTTTTAATCAAGCAGGTTGTTTCCATTGTCTTACACATGGAAGAATCTTTTCTTTTATCAAGATTTACAACCACCGCCTTCTTTCTATCTGTCATAAAATTCTCACAAGATTTTGTATCCCAAAACTCATAAAATATATACACTCAAAACCATATTCTAAATATACAAGGACAATCAAAAACAATATAATTCATCATATCTTTTTGCAGATATAAAAGAAAAAAATACACATAATTAAGGACAAGCAAGGGCAAATAAAAAAAGAAAAGAAGGCTTTCCTACGTCTACAATGCCAAACTTTATTTCTAAGCTATTATGCATTAATTTAGGTTAGGACACACAAATAAAAAACCAACCAATTCGTTCTTTTCCTTTCTGTAACTCTATCTTCCACAATATTTCGTGGCTGCAAAAAAAGGATAATTAATACCATACAAACAACTAATCTTCATTCGATACCCAGATGCATACCAAACTGAAAAAAGAAATTCCAAAACACCACCAAGATGCAGATAAATATCAGTAATAATTCATTCATCTTCACTAATTAGTTTAATATCTCTAGTAAATAGTGCAGGCCTCACGTTTATTACACATGAGATCGACGTTGTATGTACAGACCACACAAAAAAACCGATCTGTCATGGTATATAAAAAGATTAAAAAATTAAGGAAAAATAGAGCTAGCAGAGGAATTCGTCGGAGAGGAGGAGCTGAAGCTGGTCGTAGGAGGCTTCTTGTCCAAGTCGCAAGGCTTCCAGGAGGTGTTCGAAGAGGAGGGCATGACAGGGGATGCGGAGGACGCCCTGCTGTTGGTAACCATACTCTTGAGCGGATTTATTAAGGAGGTTGATGAAAACTGGGTGGCTGAGTAAGTGTGCGCTGACGACGAATCGCTCCATGTCGTCTCCGACGTAAACGGGAAGGTGTCCCTCGGGTACTCCGCCGTGCCGTCGTGTCTTTAGGGAGCTGTGTGACCGGCGGGAGAGCTGAGAGTCGGATCTCAAGAGAGAGTAGTGAGATGAGTCGGCGACACGAGAGAGGCGGCGGATGAGCTTCTTCATGATTAAGTTATGGTTTAAGGTTGTCGCAAACAAAGATGAACGGGAGAGAGAGAGAAAGAGAGCAAGCAAATGCGAGTATAAAAAGGGAATTCGGAGGGTACAGGTAGGCGTACTTGGAAGGTACAGTTTTTTTTTCTTTTAATTAATATATTTATATAAAAGAAATATGGGTCTTGTGATTGATTACCTACTTTTTCTACGCTCGTCAAAATATATAATTAACCATCGCCTCACGCTATTTCAAGTTATAAATATCCCAACAAAACTTTTCTCACTGTATATTCATTATACTATAGCAAATTTAAACTCAATTAATAAAATAATTACAATACATAAAGGAAGTCATGTGAGTTTGGTTTGGTTTGTATAATTTAGATTATTGGCTACTGTTTTGAGGTGTTTGACATGGATTATGAAACCATTGGTGGTTATGTTTAAAGCATCCATAATGATGAGTTCAATAGAAGAGTTGAATGAGATAACAAGTCTATGTGTCATTCAATGGATAAAATTCTATCATTTTGAGATGCCACATTGGCATTCGATGGATTTGGAGTTCAATGACCATTAAACTTTTCAATGGTAAAAAAAGAAAGTTTTTAATTCTTATGTATTTTACTATAAATTACATTTTGTAACATTCTATTAAACTTCGTAGAGTTCAAAGCATTATAGGAAAAAAAATGATAGAATTATATAGATTATAAAAAATAATATGATAATCCATTAAACGCTATAAAATTTAATGCATTGTTGATGACCCTATGTACTCGTAAAAAAGATGAAGAATCCCAACAACTAGTAAATGCAACAAACATGTCACAAATTTATGGTTATAATAATAAATAATGCGTGCCTTAGGAATAACATGATAAGATTCATGAGTATCTTCTCACTCACTGCTAAGCGGTGAGTTATCAATTTTAAATTGGTCTTGAGATTATAGGTTAATTAATTTATATGAAAAGTATGTATAAAGATTTGATAATCATAATCATAATAAGTAATAAAGAGATGAGGTGGTTATGAGGGATAATGAGTTGTCGTTAAAGAATCTTATCCTACTAGATGCCATGCCATGGAATGCTAGGGCGTGAGATATAAAAAGTAAAGAGATATCGTTGTCATTGGTTTACGACGATCTTTTCAAATTAATATCTATATAAATTGAATGGTAAAGCGTCATCATCTTCTACACTTAATTATGTTTGTTGCTGTTTTATGTCATGTAACAACTGGCTGTGGTGATAAATGATCATAAGTTCTAGGTCTTTTTTATGGCACTCCATCTTAATTCATAATAAGCCCTGGTCTATATTGTGAATATTTCTTATTGAAATTTCAATACAGTTTTTAGTTTTTTCTAGATAATACATTCAAATTTTTTTCTTTGGCTTTTGGCTTTCTATGCTTTTCCAGCTTTGAATACAAATCAGAAAAGTACAAATTATACACAAGTAAAAGACACAAAATATTATATTTGTGTGACCTAAATTGCAAAGAATTTCGTATAAGTCTTTGTTAAGCTTCAAAATATTATATTTGTGTCATCTAAATTTTGAATATCACAATTACCCTTTATGAACTTTGCAATATCAAATTAACTAAATCCTTTTTTTTTCTTCTGACATTTTTAATATTTTATAATCAAATTAACTATATATATATATATATATATATATATATATATATATATATATATATATATATATATATATATATATATATATATATATAAAAGCGTGTGTGTATGATGTGAATAAACTACCCATGGACCTTTCACGTTATTGCATGTATTAATTTGTTTAAAATGATTGTAATAATTTATTTATTCATATAATATGTAATAATAATTAAATAGAAAGTTTTTATTTTTTATTTTTTATTTTTGTAAGTAATATATTAGTATTAGAAATAGTTTATTTTTATAAAAATGTAACAGGATAAAGATGAAGACCATTTTGGAAGATCAAATGTCAATCCATGATTTTATAAAAAGTTTTCTTAACTTTTATAAAATTATGTAGTTTTGGAACTTGGAGTTGTCAAAATAAGCGGGTGGACATATTGCAACAAGTTGAAGATTTAAAGGTCTCTTAATGTCCCTTTAGTAATGAACTTGATATGTTTTGTAATGGCTTACTAAAATGTGACTAGTTTTTAATTGGTTTATGCACATATGTTTTTACATGTTTATGTGGTTTATTTTTTTTTTATCAATATTATGTTTTCTTTGATAAATTAGTTCTCACATGAAAAATAATATTTTAAACATAAATAAAATCACAAATGAGTTTGGTTTTAATTTTTTTTTTCATTTAAGATAAGATTGCAAAAAGTTTTTAAAAATAAAACAAACTTTATTAATTAAAACTAGTAACGGTAGCATCAGTAAATGTCGTCAATTAAAACTATATACGGTTAAAATTGAGATTTTATAAACTTACCAAACTCCAAAACCATATATTATAAAAGTAAGTTTTATTAAAAGGTTTATAAATGTTCTAAAGCGCTCAAACGATAAAACTTAATACTAGTTATTAAGTTTTAAATTTGGTCGCTTTAATTATATAAAATCGGGTTTTATAAAAGAACTTTGTTAAAATGTGGTTTTATATAGAATGAGATTTTTTAAAGTATACAATGGCTTATTGGATGCATGCAATAACCATGATATAATATATTTTTTTTAAACTATAATTATTAAAACATCAAAGACCCTTTAAAACCTTAAATCTAGGCAATCCGTTTTGAATAACACTCGTACATCTCTTGATACACTAGAGAGATTAAGGATAACTAACCGCTTAGTGTTATCTTTTGATGGTCGGGGTGTATTAGCGATTTCTATAACCAAGTTATTGCTCCATTACATAAGTTTTTCAAATTGGTTTATTTAATCGAAAACGTTTTGTGATAAAGCATACATAAGTAAGAAAGATCTGAGACATAGATGGGATCAAACGTGTCTATTAAACTTTGTTATTAACGATCTCATAAATCTAAAAATTATATATTAGTATATAACTGATAATCAATATCTATCTAGTTTTATTAAGAAAGAATGGGATAAAGGATACCTAAGCATTTAATTGTTTTGCAACTTGGATCCTAGACTTTGATAATTAATTTTTTAGAAACTAAAACGCTAAATGAATTTGTTAAAATTTTGTAGAAGAATAATCCATCTCATTACCATGAATCATCATTTTCTTGATGATTTGAAAAAAAATAACATTCCATATATAGAATTTCAATTAATGAGTTCATGTCTTGAGAGACCAGAAATTGTACACTCTGAAAGGACGTATTATTAGGAATAATTATTCTTGACTTCGAGGAAGTCTTGGATAATTTATATGTATATCTGATGATATAACTGATGAGTTTTATAGGTTATCAAAAACATGTAAAGTGGAAAATCTTAACACATAAGTTCACATGCAAACTATAAAGGATCTATGTTTTCTCTAATTGATAGCAACATACTATGAACTTCAAGAACCCTAAAGGAAATCTATGAAAATCGAAATTCATAAATTAGGGTTTACATACCTTTAGATTTATTATAGCAAATAAATATTTGATCCTTTTCATTATGCCTTTATAAAGGAAGCATCAAAAGTATGATGCCTCTAACTGCTCACACCTAAAACCCTAGAAACCCTAGAATAAAGAAACGAGAGATAAGAGGGATATAAAATTTGTTCATAAGCTTTTAGGTAAAGGTATGAACGAAATTTGATATACAAGGGGTCCTATTTATAGTTTAGGTAACTTGTAGGCAAAGACAAATTTGAATTAATTAAATAATAGATTTAATCCCAATTCAAATCATTTCCTTATTAACATCCTAGAGGCTTCTAGAAACCCGAGAAGAGCTCTCAAAATCGTCCACCCTTGGATGGTTCTAGAATTGCCTCTTTTGTTCAACTATTAAACAATTACAATTCACCCCTTTCACCTTTAATTATTTCAAATTAATCCCGAATTAATTGCAGATTAATTCTGATTAATAATTAATTAATTCTAATCGTTTTCTTATTAAATTATTAACCATATAAATTAATAAATCAATTATTTAACTATTGATCTCATATTAATTTATTAATCACATAACAAACTAACAGATCAACTATCTATTTCTAATTAATATATTAATCAAATAATATATCAACAACTAATTTTCTCTCTCTCTCTCTCTCTCTCCATTTTCCTCTCTCTCTCTCTCTCGCCTAATATCATTTCTAGCTATTTCTGGTTATAAGGGCAACCCCAAAAGGACTTTGGTTCTATTTGCAAGTTTATACCAATTTAGTTATGAGCTTAGACACCTTAATCCAACAGTCTCCCACTTGGAGAAGTCTATAACTATAATTGCAATTATAATCAAACAGCAAAGAGTGCCTTCCAAAGCCACTACCGAACTCTTATTCAAATCAAACATCGACCCTAAGATAAGTAATCAACTATTCCTTCATTCTTTAATATATCGTATGAACAAAGTCATGGATTAAATGATCAGCCTCATGCTCATTTGTTTATTTCTCGGTCTCCGATATAATGATCAAATTCAGACTACAAAATCGAACACATCAATTTAGTCCGGACCAGGCGTGGTTCTTATAGATCTACTCAAATTACTGAGGGGCCTAAAGATACCATTTTTCCTTATTCTGGAAAAAGAAACGAATTACATTGACTATATAGTCATACCTTTACTCACCAATTCATCATGTAATAACTCTTTATAAAATCCAGTTACAAGATGCATTTGAGTAAACCAAAGCATAACTGATTTATGAACTATGAGCTATGTATCTCTACTTTAAGAATAGTAAGATGTTATCGTCTTAGAATTACTTGTGATTGAATACATGAAGTAATCTATAAGTGTGAGTTTATCCAATACTTAAAATCTTTATTTCTAAGTACTCATGAATATTGTAGTAATCCTATGTAATGCCCAGTCTCTATGGGCAATCTATAATCAATTCATG